TGCCCCAGTAGGGATGATCCTAGTACGCGCATATGCGGAACGATGAATACCTATTCTGGCAAGCCTTCCGGTTCCGGCTTACTTGCAGGATGCATGCATGACGGCACGCACACCGATAAATCGGTGTGTCACACCTCGCTTGGAAATACGAGGTCGCCGACGCACAACTATTTGCCTCACACCCTCCCACGAGCGGCGAGCGCAAATTTTCGCATCACACCACTAGCGATTTTACGACTTAAATGCGTTTCTCGCGACGGGCGCTCAGGGTCAAACCCACGCCCCCGTCTTCCACACCCGATGGACTTTCATCCGCCATCATCTACGGGGAAAGGTATAAGTATCACCCTTCTCCCCCCGTCCTGACGAGTTGATCATAGGTCAACGAAACAAACGATCAATCTCTTTTGATTATTGTCGACACTTTGTTTCCCACGATACCACAACTCTCACGTCCCCTTCCCATCAGCTCAGCTGTCCGCCCGGCTAGAGAATCGCCTCGCTCGCTTCGCTCGCTCGGCTCACCCGTCCTGACCAGTGGATCATAGGTCAACGAAACAAACAATCAATCTCTTTTGATTATTGTCGACACTTTGTTTCTCACGATACCACAACTCTCACGTCCCCTTCCCATCAGCACCGCTGTCCGCCCAGCGAGTGAATCGCCTCGCTCGCTTCGCTCGCTCGGCTCACCCTGAAAAAAATTTAAAATTCTTCTCAGGAAAGAAATTTAAAACTATTCTCAGGAAAAAGGTTTCTTACCTGTATCCTGATCACCGCTTGCATTGTTGACTTCCTGCAATCTCAGCTCTGGTAATTCGCAATATTCTATAGTAATCAGTACTGTAATTCCTTGAACTATGATTGCTATTCACATACCACTTATATGTGACAATCGAATCACTATAAAAATATATCTCTTAGTCTATTGATCTTTGAAAATATACTGAATCAACTTACCATTTTTCCCTTTCTTGCCACAAATATCTAGCTCTTGCTCCTCTGAAGAACTATAATCCTGAACCTGTTTCAATCCTTCTGTAATAAATGTTTCTTCTTAGTAGACAACCAATAAGTTTATCCTATCTAGAAGTACCTTGAACTGTTCTTGGAACATCTATTCCTGTTAGAAAACTACTGCAGCCAAATCACTAGAATATTAACACTTACTTAATTTCCTTCCTATGTTATTCTCCACTGCTACTCTTTCAATCTCTATATCATGTAGTATCTGCTCCAATCCTGAAAGCTTAGGCCAGTCAGAAGACCTTTTCTCAACCTGAATGTCTTCCTGTTTATCTGAGGTTTCCATAATACATAATTAGTCCAATACCCTTTCATATTTCTAGTTAAACTTAATTCATACCTTGTTTAAAACTGAATGAACTTTCTTCAGTTTCCTCTCTTTTCTGGTGGTCTTCTTGTATGGACTGAAAAGCTTCCTCTTCAGTTATTTCCATATTATGCAACATATGCTCAAATCCAATCAGCTGTGGCCACCTTCTTGATTTCTGCTGCAACCATTCTGCTAACTCATTCTTCTCCAAATTGTCCAAGCTATCTTCTTTAGTCATATCTACTGTATCTTCTGTTAAGGCAACCTGAGATGTTGTCAGCTAATGTTGTATTGCAATTAAGAATAGAATTCTACTTACAGAAGGATGCCTGACTTTGGTAAAGGTTGGTGATAGATTCTTCTGTAGGTTGTTAGTACTCTCTGGTACTACTAACTGTAAGTAATTTGACAGTCAGCTTACAGGATAATAGGACCCAATCAAGAGGATAATATCACACTTACCTGATAATCAGCTGCTTGGTGGAGCAACTCATCATGTATAGTATTGAGATTATCAGATTTGGTCAGGGGTTGGGGTTTTGATTTTGTTTGCAAATATCTTCTTTTATCAGAAGCTTGTTTGACAGATTTTTTTTCCTCCACTGACTTTGTTGGTCTTCCTCTCTGATGGTGAGACATGACTGTATTTCAAAAAAGAAAGTAGTAGTAGATATTTTGTGCGAAAAATGAAAACAACAGGAGATAAAATAGACAGGAGGAGTAGTGTTGTGTTTAGGTAGAGGAGGAATATCTTAGAAGGAATGGGAAAGGCAGAGTTACTTAGATAACAGAAATTTTTCTAGCTTGTGAAAAAATATAAAATTCTTCTAGTGTGAGAAAAAATTTTAAATGTTTCAAGGATGTGAAAAAATTTTAAATTTTTCTAGTATGAGAAAAAATTTAAAATTCTTCTAGCGTGAGAAAATTTTAAATTTTTCTCGTATGAGAAAAAGTTTTTAAATTTTTCTAGTCTGTGAAAAAGTTTTAAATTTTTCTAGTCTGTGAAAAAGTTTTAAATTTTTCTAGTATGAGAAAAAAAAATTAAAATTTTTCTAGTATGTGAAAAAATTTAAAATGTTTCCTCACGCTCAGATATTCATATCTGAGAATATTTCTCCATACATTTTTAAACTTTTCACCATAAAAAGTATAAGAAATACACAACAACCAATGCCACAGTGTGAATGCTGTGACTCAACTTTGAATCCACAACAACTTTTTCATTTTTTATTCAATTAAGACAGCTTTTTTTTTATTAATCTTGTAACTTTATAAAGATCTTGGAAATGTAAAAAACATTTAAAATAGTGTTGGGTAAATTTTCTGTATATGTTTTTGTTGTGGTTTTTCCTCTGAGTTTCGTGTTACAATAGAGAATTTCTGACCCTGAGTTTGGCTATAGAGTCATATATGTGAAACAATAACATAGCTGTGACTCATAACCATGTGTCACCTGAAAACCTTTTCCTCGCCAAGCCGCATTCGTGACATTGCTGGACGGGGGCAGGGGCACCACATGGAGCGATATGCTAGACAGCTTAGCATTAAGGTAGGAGTTGGGTACTCATGAACGCAGAGTTGTTATAGGAAGCTTTGACAGTATATGAAATCTACTTAAGTATAGGGAAGTTCTCATCTGCTCTGGCAATTAACTATCTCTCGAAATCAGGACTTAACTGAGTAAAGCTGTTGCTTAACAATATTAAGTTTTACCGTTTTGTTTCTTCAAACTCTGCTGCTGAGACTTTGAAATTTTATTATATTTGTTCCCAGAAGAATTCATCTCAGCGCAGTTGCAACCTCAGGGTCCATCTTCCTAGAGGGAGCCCCCGTTATGTCTACCGTAGCCACCCGTAATAATTGAATCTTTCCCTAAAACCTCCAAAATTCCCTTTCTGGTCATGACGGCCAAGCGTAGAGAGAACGCTAATTCTTACGGCTTGGACCTCAGATGCTCAATTCCACCAACCTATCAACAATCAACCTCCCTAGCCAAAATTATTGCAACAGAGGAATCCGGCAATGCAGAGTTAAGGATCGCCGAATCCATGGGAATCTCCTACGGTAGCAACCAGGAAGCTTAAAAAAACAGACGTCTTGCAGATTCGTGGGAGAATTTACCATCCTCTGATCTTTCCGTACTCTGTCATGGGCTAGGGTTAGATAAACTACTACGGTTCCTAGCAGCCACCAAGAGAACCCTTCATCACTGCGCACGATATCATAACTCGATTAGCGAATTTGAGCGTATAATACGTAAGCTATCTTGTCTCTTAAGAGAGTTTATACCCCTGGCCTGCAAAAAGTTGCCCTTGAAACAAGCCGGAATTCGGCAAATAGCTGTATGATACCTGCTCCGACATCCCACCCTTACTGTGATCTCCCAGGCTGCACCTGAACTTCTCCTAGCAGAAAACACCGCACCGCCAGAGTACTTGGGTGGAGAAAATAACAACGGCAAAAAAGGGTAAACACAATATTGAAGAAAATTGCGAGGAAATTCAAATCGAGGAAGTGGAGAAGAAGCGGGACAAAGCTCCCGGTAGGATTGAGACCAGATTGCATGAGCAAGATCGAGTATCGGCAAGCCTGGGGAAATACAGAGTTACAAAAGCAGCAGGAAATATATGTCACAACATCACAGAGTAATGTCCATGTCGCGACACCCCCCGCAGACCTCTAAACTCTCGGGGTTCGTCCGGGGACCCCTATGGCCTTACCAGGCTGACTCCCCAACAAGCCAGTATGGCGCCGATCGCCCTGTACATCCACCGCCTCATGCCCTAACTACGGCTTCGCAAGCGTGACGAGGCAAAATAATAGCTCCTCTCCCCCCGCTAACATCAATGTATCCCGCCCTGGAAGCCCCAGATGGGTGCCCATATCAGATAGGAGTGAAATATCTCTCTTGATATCTCGCTCTCTCCTCCCGTCCCCCCCTCTCATACCCATATCCAACCAGCCGCGTATCTGCTGTACCTTTGACTCCTCCATATTCGCTCCCGGTTTGTGCCAATTCTTTTGTATCATAATTATAAAAATGGTGTCGAGAACATTTGAGAGATGTCTGGATGCTTGCAACTCTATAATATTATGAGAGCTCCCAACAAAATATTCGTTCATACAAAACCAGTTTGGTGTAATTATACCCGCAATAATTTTGGACCATTGCAACTTAGGAGCGCTTGAAGGCTACCGAATGGCATTTCACCGAAAGTACCTGCTATTAGTAAGAACTATCCCCAATAACCACCCACAAAACACGTTCATCAATTATGTTAATTGGGATACTTTTGGTGCAAAGTGGGAGGGTGCAAGGATCCCCCACCTCCTAGTGGCACTGTACTAGTACTGTGCGCTCACTCGGATAAAACGCTATCTATAATTAACTAAGCAAAATATATCGCCGGCCATAAACAGCTAAGCAGTTTCCACCGGATAATGCAATAATATTATGATACAAGAAGCCCAGCCTGCACCTTTACCCAATCGAGAATAATAACAAAAATCAAACCCATCCACCCCGCGCCAGACTGGGAGAAATGTAGAAAGTACAAAGGAAATGCAAACCACGTCGGTGGTGTATGCGACAATAGTACCAAACCGATAATATACATGAGACAACCTGATGAGATATCTCCCAACAAGATTATAGACAAATTAATCAAAACATCCTCCCCATCACCGGCAAAGACGTCCGTGCTCCAGACTCTTCCATATTTCGTAGCGCGCGTTTGAGCGTTGCCGAGCGAGCGCTGTATATCGACTCTGTATACGCCGCTGAGCAGGGAGTAGAAGCTCGCGGGTGTTGGTGTTGAGAACTGGCGTATGTATCCCCACTACGGGTAGACCTGTACGAAGGAACCGACGGCGGAGCGGGTGCTGGGGCCATCAAGTATTCGCCCGACGATGATGCCTCATCAATTGTAGATAGGTCCTCGACCGAGGCATGGACCGACGGGGGACCAGCCCATTCAAAAACTCTACTTTGGGGGCGTCGGAAGGAGGATAACATCCGCGGTGGTGATTGCGGAGGAGTTAGTAATCGATGGCCCCGCCCCTGTGGGAAGCGTGGGGAGGACTGGGCGGAACGGGCGGTAGTTGGTGGGGATGTTTGGTAGGTGTGGAGTTTCTCCATTATGGAAACCACTTTTTCGACGATGCTTGCTGCGTCTTGGGGAAATGTTAGTTGGTTGGGCAGAAGAGTTGGGGAGGTGTTGCCAGGCTTACCGGTTTCCCCGTTCTCAAACAGGTATGTTATCCGGCCGTTGCCTTCTCGTTCTATGTTCTCTCCCATCCTGCGCAGCATGCTGACGCTTGGGCCGGTGAACGAACTTGCTGTGATGGAACTTATGAATTGGATGGGGCTTGGGACTGTGCGAAAAACGTCAGGACAAACTAATGATTCCGTGGGGGGTACCCTACTGTATTGACGCAAGACATATTCCCCATCCACGCTCTGCAAAACCAAGTGTACACCATTGGACGGGAAGCAAGGCACTAACAATAACTTAGATCCCTTAAACACTCCGTTGATATTCTTCTTTTCAGATGTGATATCCCCCTTCAGCCGCACCGAGAAGTTCTTGCTCACAACATCCGCAATGTTCATCTCAAATATCGCATCGTCTTCAAGGTTATCCTCCAGTGCCAACGTATTATCCCCTGACAATTCCACCGATTTCTTGAATAATAACAGCGCCTTCTCCGCCTCAACCACAGCCGCACTCTTAGCCTGCGATCGCAGGAAGCTACTCCGGTTCTTCCCCTTGTCCGTAAATACCAGCCGCACTTTAGTCTGAATCGGCTCCGTTGATTGATTGTCGTCACAGATCCTCACTCGTACACTCGACAATGTTATTGATGCACACTGTTTACGGGATGAAAATACCGGACTAAAGCTCTTCCCTGTTGCATGTAAGTAATGGAAACAGGATTCGGAGCCGATGAGTCAATACCCATGTCCAGGATAGTCCTTTCCTTCTGCCTTCCGAACCGCAACGTTACTCGAGCGAACCTCAAAAAGGGGTCATCCTTAAAGGGGATTGTCTCGGGAGAGCTGGATGCCCAAATAGCGGACTTTGGTGCTGATTTATACGTGGCGAAGCCAATTCGGTCAACGTCTCCGTCTGAACGCCTCCATGATCCGTCTGTATTAACCTCTAACTTTACGGATACCCGGCGGAGGTAAGGGGTTTGCTTTCTGGGCCGCCTTAGCTTTTCTTCCCTTCTTCATATGGGTGAGGGGGCTCACGAGCAATTCGAAATGAGATATAGGCGCTCCTTTGATGCGACACCGCGGTCGAAACCTATACCAAAGGGTCTGGCACGTTCTTCCTTAGGGCCTTGAAGAAAACGCTTTGCCGCAACACCATTAAGGGCGGTAACGTATGACGCGAAGTAAACATCCTTCGCTATACATTGTTAGACCCTAGAGGGGGCTTGTTGGACCGAGATTGGGTCGATAGATACCTTCATCGGAGAATTTAATCCGAACATAGTGAGCATCAGCTCCTGTCTCGGGATTGCAGCAAACATTGTAGATCTTCCAAGAGTATTCCCTTTTAATATCCCGTACACACCTAGTGGATATTGTGCCTGAATTAAAAAGGTCAGCACTTGTCCCCCAAAATAAAAACTCTCCGCTGAGCAAACTGACTTCGGAAATTTGCACAACGTTTCTTCCCTGCCATCGTTGTAAGCAAGCGAGCAACCTTCCGCATCATTTCCCACGACTTGACCAACTCACCCCACAAGCCCTCTAAGCTTCCAATTGGCTTTACAAAAATCGCACCCGGAGTGAACAATTCTTCTGGCGCAATCTTAACTTTTGTTGTCCTTCCCCGACATTCGCCTTGCTCGCTCCTCGGCAGACTCCATGCTATGTAATCCAGATCACTGCATCCGCTCCAGTTAACCGAAGAACGAAATCTGTAAAAAGAACACCATACATTTCGTCCATTGAATCCCACCCCACTGGTAGCACCATACCCCCAACCCTATCCGTAAAAAGCGTCAAGCCGAGAATTGAAATTTTAACAAAGGTAAAAAGGGAAAGAAAGAAAAAAAGATTGAATGAATTCCAGATCCAAGTCCTCTCAGAGGAAATCCCGCCCTAATGCCGATGTTGAACGAGAAATGAAAACGAAAAAGGGAAAGTAATGAACGTGAACAGCAGTCCGGAACAGTTAAAAGCAAAAGTGAGATGGAAAAAAAACGGCAGCCAAGGGTAGATATATAAGAAAAAAAGAAAGGAGGGTCCTGACGGGAAGGAACACAGGTATCACGGACTCAGGATATCGAAGATGGTAGCTACCTGTAACTGCGCCTTGGAGAGGGAGAGGATCAAAAAAGAAAAAAGAAAAAAAAGGGTGGATCTATACAGAGGTCAGATATACCTGCTTAAGGAAGGCCAGCCCGTTAAATTCTCATCTTTCGACGATGAATGGTTCCGAGCTTATTGCCCGACAGATTGTCCTGGCCGCCACTTATACAAATACTTGTGCTAGTATAACACCCGAAATAAGTATCGCGAGTAGATTGGCGAATCAGACGCCGTTTCGAAACCCTACTTTTATCGTCACACCTTATCCTTCCAAACCGCCACTGATACTATTCCCCAGCCAGTGTCCGTATTTCTGGTACCGCGGACGGGAGACAAGGCATGCACGAGCACTTGTCCGAACTGTCTGGACACATCTTTGTTTCTATGTAAAGGCCTTGAAACCGCCAGGACCGAAGATGGATCCGGGGGATTGTTCCCTTTTCCCCTTCTTCCCCATTCTGTCCTTCCGAGAGAGGACTAACTACCGTCACTCGCTAGGTGTGACAACCATTCTTAGTTGTGCGCCGCGGAAAATACCCCCCTTGGGCGCTTCAACTCACGGCGTCAACTGGCTCCAAAGCAGAGAGTCAAGGATCACTATCGATAAGGACGTTTCATCCAGAGACCTGTGGCATCGCTGTGTGGGCTGTGGCGACGGGTTCCCTCTCTCCCTTTTCCTGTCATCGGCGCCAGGGGAATAGAATAGGCTACCAATACCAGAGTAGAGCTCAACAAATAAGCCTAGTCGTGCCCCCATTTAGGATGAAACCAATGAACAAGAGATGGCAGCAAACTGTAGAACTACTTGTACAGTACTGTGCCAGTACGAGTACAGTACCGTACAGTACACACCACCTCCAGTCATGCGCGATCGAAATCAGAAGCACATTGATGACTGAGGCATCCTAGTTCCTTACTCGAGTACGGTAGCTCACGTAAACCTGAAACCAACCATCGCACGGATCCGGCATGAGAATTTGTTCATCAAGCCAAGCCGCATGGAGTCGGCTATGGAAGCAGGAATTTGTTGAAAGCTTGATTCGTGTGCTGTGCCGGTACTGTACTAGATAAAAGAAGCTTTCCCCAGATTTTGCGATGCGGCCGCTGCAAGCTATGCGAGACAGCCAAATCAATGCCTTTGCTAAGGCCACGCCAGAACCAGAGGATGATCCGACACCATTGGCATTGAAGCCGGCCATGAGTGTTTGATACTGCAGCGCGTGCCGGAAAGTGCAAGGAAACGAAGGCCGGGGCGACCAGGAGGAGGAGACTTCGAAACGAGTGGATATGCATCGGACGCATCGTATTTGTCAGTACCGATCCATCTCACCATACAAGTATAATAGATGCCTGCGGATTCCTAAACAGCCCGATGAAAGCGATATCCGCCCAGCGATTTCCTATCACTCCTCCGAGGCAGCAGCGCCGGAAACAAATATGTCAGCGCAGCGCACTATTTCTACTACCCTGAGGTTTCAAGCCCACATACGGATGTCCACCTTGGAGGGTTAGGGTTACAACTTACCCTTTCGGGCGAGGGCATCAGGGAAGAAACAGTGACTATCGCATGATGCAATAATACAAGTAATAATATGATATTCTGCTCGAGCAGATTTTTCACGTCGGGGCCGCAGGATTTGGAATAAGGGGTTCTTGCCGAGACGAGGATCACAGCTATTACTCCGCACAAAGGCGAGCAATATGGACCACCAACATCGACATAATAAATCACAGTTCGAACATGAACAACTGCCAATACACGGCACGAGCACAGCACAGTACCATCGAAGCCAAATCACCAAACAAACCAACAGCCCCCAATATCTTCCATAGAGCTCTTAGTAATATATTATTAACAAGGAGTAACAGCGCGCATCAGTCCACAGTGGACACCAACAATCAACGTTAAGTCCCGGTACCGTACAAGTACGGCACTCGGGTAATAACTGGAATTCCTTCTCCTGTCACACGGGTCCTGAGCAGCTCCTTTCCTCCTCCCGTTTTGGTTGGTTACACTTAGGACTGATACCTTTACTGTACGATACCCCCATTCATACCTCAACCCCTTGTGTGATGGAGGGAGGAGAAAGGTCGAATAAATTCTGATTCCTAAAAGGAAAAAGGGTATGATACCCCATAATCTTAAACCTCACTGACAGTATTCATGCCAATATATCGTATATCGGCAGTATCTTGGCAGATTGCCGGGACCTTCAACCCAGCTCAAGATCCGCTTAACGCATAAAGTTCAATTTCTCTGAACACGTCATTGTTATGCGTTAGTAATCCCAACCAACGGTGAGAAGAGGGCCCAAGGCAACTGCTCCTGCGAGCATCAAAACGTGGTAGCACTTGTACGACGATTTCCACGAGTTAACCCCCAGTACTAGTAAAGTACGAGCACAGTTGGGCGCCGGCCAGTCCTGCGGACGGGTATTCCGAGGTCTACTAGCAGAAGGGTAACCGTAGCCTCTACTTTCCACTATGACAGTACTCGTAGCTTCTACTTGCTCCTTTACACAGGTGCTCACTCGACCCGTCTGCCGTCTTTTGTCCCTAAGTCAGCCGTCAGCTGACTAGCTGCTAACTGGAGAGGCTCATGAGCAACCGATAACCATGGTACAAGTACTCGAGTACTCGTACGGGGAGGCCTACCGGTGCTCGAGTTATCCGTGACCCCGCCGTAACCCATGATAGAGTAACTGTACCTCCACTACTGACCCCTGTAGCCATTACAGACAATCATATGATCACCGTAAGCTTCGGTTTTCGTACATATAGCTGACCATCCCCTCCGTCCCCAATGCCATCGCATCTTTCACATCACAAGTTCATTGTTCCTCACTCGTGATCCGCATCGAAAGTTTTACTGCTCTTGGCAACGGGTCAGATCTTTATCTGGCCGCAATTGATCGGCCAGCGGAGGTAAACCACTCGGTCGGGCAAGTCGTCGAAATCATAATACGCTTCCCACCCCCTCGCCAAAACCAGTGTTGTCCCCGCACGCAGTCCCCTCTTCCCCCCCGCATTCAGTGTGCTTTAAAGTTTGGTGGAGAAACAGAGCCTGTGTCACTTTGCAAGGCGCCTCACCAGGGCCTTATTTACGAGATGACAATGGGGCGATGGTACTGTGCCAGCACAGTACGATACGAGCACGGTATCGTACAAGTGTACTGTCTGTAGCACTTCTACCGGTATCATGGCTCTTTTCTCCGACCCTTCCAGGGGAACCAAACCAAACCGGGTTGAGAACATTGTGGTCTACTTGTACGAGTACATGTACGAGTACCCGTACATTACTCGAAGTATTGCGCACCAAATTACTCGTGTAGATCTGCGTCCGAGCGCGAACCTCACACGGCACGGCCACCCCCTTGGACCGTACCAGAGTACAAAATGCCGGCAACCCAACTTGTCGGACCAGTCCTTTTATTATTGCCTTACACTCCCATTGAACAAATATCTCTCCCACAGAAAGTGTAGATGCCAGGGGCTCACGATAACAATCTCTTACCGGTACTTGCACTGTGCCTTATACTTGTACCTTGGGACCAGCGCCAGTAGTTAGACCTGTGGTCACCTCGGTCGACTTTTTAATTTCCGGCAACGAATGATACTATATACGAGCGACAACAGATTATCTTATCGTGCGGATCTCGCTCGACTGGCTCATCTCTGATTCATGGGTGCAACTTGTACTCGAGTAACTCTCCCCTATTACTGGCCATGGCTGAATCATAGTTTGGTGCTCTGCCCTCCACATCGGCCGAATCGTACTTGTAGTTACTCTGAGAGCATTGAAGAGTCTAGCACCCATAGTACTTTTTACCAGGAACCCCTTTTCCCAGGGGTCCCTTCCTCTTGTCCTTCTTCCCCTCCTTTTTTCTCCTGGCCCCCCCCTCCGAGAAAATTTCTACCCCATTTCCAACGTCGAAGAGAAGAGGGGAAGAAGGTAAAAAAAAAAAAACCGTGAGAGAAAGGCCTGAGACCAATCTCCTCCTGACTGAACAGAAAGACTGACCTCGGAGTCAGTCGCGAACGTGACAACTTGGTAGGTGACTCCCTATTCCATGCTTTCAACTATTTCTTCCATCCATCCTCCACTCGTTTGCGGAGGATAATTTTCCTCTCTTCCCATTTCACACCTTTCTTGCCTTTCCCCCTACCCTACGTATCATAGTTCTGAGCCTTTTTTACCGCAAGCAGCCGCGGGTACGAGTACAGTACCGTTGACAGCAACCAAAGCGGGGCGCAGGACAACATTCTGACGTTTTCAGCTCGCTTCCTCTTATCCGTCTTTTGGGGTAACGTCTTTGTATAAGACCTGCACTGTCTTCCCAACCCACGATTCAACTGTCTCCATTCCAGAACAACTCCAAAACGTCCACTAATTCAATATGTCGGATAACGAAGACTCCAAACAGTTTGCCAAGGAAAGGCCGATATCGTACGTATACTGTTCCATTGGGCGGGGAGGGAGAGAAAGCGAGAGAAGAAAAGCGAGGATTGGATTCTAACAGATAATGTTATAGGACCATCGCGCGGTCCTTCTCCGCGCAACTGAACGACGCGTTCCTGATTGATGATACATTGGACCAGTTGTCCTCTACCGTCGAGCAAAAGTATTTCTCCCCATCCAATCCACCATTCAACACCCCTGCATATCACAAACATTCTAATCTCGCTCCCCACAAAAAAGAAAGCTCTCGGTAACCTTCCACTCGAAAGAACTGGAAGAGTTGGAAGCGCGGATTCGCCGCGCTGAAGCTCTCCTGGAGGAGAAGAAGAAACGCTTCTCCGAGCAGCTCCCCGGCGAGCAACCCTCCGATCTATCAGCCCCCAGCACTCGCCCCGCTAGGCAGTCAATGCCCGACCACGACCAACCGGAAAGCTCGCAGGCTGCGGCTGCTCCACCAAACAGACCTGCTCCTGCCCCGCCAGTTGCCAATGGTGGCAGCGCTAAGGGTGAGTTCGTGGTGATTGAGAAATCGGCCAGCATGCCTGGCGAGTCGGGGAATGGCCCCCCTGCTGCGGTGTTTGGTGAGCAATATTCTGCGAGACCGCCACCGCCTGTTCCGACTTGACTATTCTTTATCATTGCTATTCCATGTCGTGAGGAGCTTCCGTTGGGCTGTATAGGGTGGGGTGGTAGGGCTTGTCATGGTTTCGGGTGTTATTGCTTGTTTTTTTTATATTTTACTCACTATTATTTTCTAATATCTCTCTCCTTTCACCTCATCCTGTTCAAATGCTCTGCGAATCTATGGCGGTTGCCTCGTTCCCGGGAACGGATGGGGGAACTCTTTTTTCGAACAAATCTCTAGGGAGCGTACCAATAACGTGACGCATGTGATGTGTTGTTCTAGATTCTATACCTTTTCCATAACTAGCTTTAGCGTTGCTTTTCTTTTTTCTTCTTTTCTTCTTTTCCTTCGAGGATGGTTATTCATTTCCCGATCCTCTACCTGATACTGGCACAGCACCTATAGGCTTGGCGTAATGAACAATATCACGAAATTTAAATATTGAGGATAACTTCTAAAGGAGGCTTCAGATTACATCTATTATCTATATGTAGGACAAGTGAAATTTCCCACCGATCAACCCCAGAGAAAGGAAGTGTCGGAACTATGCATAAAATGTCCACTCTCTCTTCTCCCTCTGTTGTAAAAGAAAAAACTCACGCAGCTTCCATCAAAGGGAAAAGCATGGAGGACGGGGAGAATATAAATGCAAAACACAAAACACGGAAAATAAGTGTGGAGAGAAAGAACATGCACACGTATACTTCTACACTTCGCTCGAACACATGACATGTTCTCGTTCGGACCCAGGTCAGCGCGCTTCCCACAGCATCATGAGATGCCGTAGACCATTACATGTTCTTTGAGGTTTCTTTCGCCCGCACCCCGGGAGTCCACTGTTTTCCAAGACAAAAAAACGGTCTAAGGATACCTTATTCTTTCATCTTCCCCCCCAACATCAAAAACATTTTTCAAGAAAAACCTTTTGCGAGAGGGAGAAGGGAAAGAGGGGCAGCGATAGTCGGTGCGGTGGGTCTTAGCGAGTGGGCGCTGACCTGGGTCCGAGCGAACATGTAGAGGCCAGAACGGTGTTTGACAATTCATGATAAGCAGGAGGGAGGGAGGGAGGGAGATGGAGATTGTGTGGTGTTATGGTTTGCTGATGAGAAGAAAAGGGGAACCCAATAGTGTGGACTGGGAAAAGATATGAAGGGTCAAGATGAGGGGACGATAGTAGGGAATACCAGTAAGCGAGTTGATATCATAAGAGAGGGGAAGTGAAGGAAGTTTGTGAAACAATGACCGAGGAGGGGTGGAGGGGAAGGAGGGAACAGATACTACCGGCGTGAGGAGGGGAAAGAAAAGGGCATGGAAACGATGCAGAATGTTGATCTGTCATCCGCCATTTTTTCAGAACCCAAGCCCTGGATTGAGCGCTGACATCGAGCGTTTAGATTCAACAGTCACTCCTCCATGGCTTGGCATTCCCACACACCCACTCGATAATTCTCATCACCAATATCCCCTCCCAGCCGGAGGAAACTTTTCACTCAACGACAATTTCGACAACCAGCCATCGACAGCTACCGGTACCTCAGCAAAAATGGTGAGTTATATCAGCTTCAGCCCTCGAACTCCTCCATCCCTCAAGATCGCCAAACTGACGATTTCCCTAGCCTTTCACCAAAACCGTCAAGTCTAGCGCCTACTACTCTCGCTACCAGACCAAGTACCGTCGTAGACGTGAGGGAAAGACCGATTACTATGCTCGCAAGAGATTGATCACCCAGGCGAAGAACAAGTACAATGCGCCCAAGTACCGTCTCGTTGTCCGCTTCACCAACCGTGATGTACGTCCCCGACCTTTTTTCGTGTGAAAAGCCCTGAACCTCGATCATTCGTTTTACTTCCGGTGTTGTTGGAGTAGACAGAAACGTCTTCCCTCCACGCACCGAGCGCGTTGATAACGTGATGAAAAATGAATGGAGGTGGGCTAATTGCTTCGCTTTGCGCTACAGATCATCACCCAGATCATCTACTCTGAGATTGCCGGAGACAAAGTCTTCTGCTCCGCCTACGCTCATGAGCTCCCCCGCTACGGAATCAAGCACGGTCTTACCAACTGGGCTGCTGCATACGCTACTGGTCTTCTCTTGGCTCGCCGCACCCTTACTAAGCTTGGTCTTGACGAGCATTTTGAGGGTGTCGCCACGCCCGACGGTGCATTCCAGTTGACCGAGGACGCCGATGTCGAGGGAGAGTCCAGACGTCCATTCAAGGCTTACTTAGATGTTGGTTTGAAGAAGACTACCACTGGTGCCAGGGTTTTCGGTGCCATGAAGGGTGCTTCCGACGGCGGTCTTTACATTCCCCACTCTGAGAGCAGATTCCCTGGCTATGATATCGAAACCAAGGAATTGGATGCCGATACTCTAAGGAGGCAAGTTCTAAGCCAGCATGAAGGGCACAACACACAACTGACAAGCTATTCAGATACATTTTTGGCGGCCACGTCGCTGATTACATGGAGACTCTCGCTGATGACGATGAGGAACGTTACAAATCCCAGTTCCAGCAATACCTTGATGACGGTGTTGAGGGTATTTTCTTCTTATTCTACCATTCTCTGTGGACATTCTAACAACCCAATAGCCGATGGTCTCGAGGAGCTGTATGCCGAAGCTCACGCCATGATCCGTGAGAACCCCAACCTTGAGAACCCCGAGAAGGACACCAGGGGCAAGGACTACTGGAAGGCCGAGAGTGAGAAGTACCGTCTTAAGAAGATCTCGCGCGAGGAGAAGAGGGCCAATGTCCAGAAGAGGATTGCGGAATTACGAAAGTAATTCTTTGGGATTCTGTCTTTCCTCTTCTGTCGTTTTGTTACAGGCGCTCGTTGTACTCATCTCAAGTTTCTGGAATGGGGTTGAGGCAAAGGTTATCAATGTCACGACTAAATTAAACAAAAAAAAAGGGTTCCGGTATCATTTCTTCTGGGAGTTTCTTGTATTTTCTCTTGGGCGTGGATGTGAATTATTTGTATCTGGCTACTGGGGTGTCGGTGATATTGATTGAAATTGCCATTTAAAACGACCCGGTGAGATGAGAGGTCTGAGAATGTGACGCCATGTGCTAAGGCCACCGGAGATATAGCTTGGTGGCCCGTGTGGAAGGAAGAGCCGTTATACTCGTGGTATGGTCTAATATTAAAGTGGGATTCAAGCGATTAAGTACACGGTACAAAAATCGGGTGTTTTACTGTCACGGAATTATACCGCACTTCTTTCGACAGTCTTACAATAACTCGCTTCCAGCAGTGATTACACACAACATTGATACTAACAAATGACTTGGCCTAACCCACGATTCGCACAGGGGTCCGGCACGAACCGCCCTGCTGCCAAATAGCCCTCAGCAGGATATAGATAGAAGGTTCTGCGTAGCAGAAACCTCTATCCAGGAAAACGAATAACCCGTCCAAATCCCCTGACTATGTCCCGCGGGGCGGAGGTCATTCCCAAGGACTCTTCAGTCGAAGGCAATAACGCTAGGCGTGAACTAGTACGATACAGCACAGCACAGTACAGTACAGGCAACGAATAAATTACAATAGTAATGTTATCAACCGAAAGGGGGAAAAAAAAAAAAATGCCTAGAAATAGCAAATGATACACCGGGACAGCTCCTCATATCATACCCAGCCCGTAACGGGATACGGCACCTTTTAACTTTCTTTGCCCCCCCCCGTGATTTTGCGGCCAGCTCCTTTCATTTTTATTTTTGTGTAATTTGATTGGACCAGTGAACAATCGATATTGTTCTAACGAGTGAGGGGTTGTGATTGCTTCAAAAGGATGGTGGTACTGTATGCGTTGCGTGCTCGTGCTGTACAACTCATGACGCTGCTGCAGGGAGTGCAAGAGTGGCGGGAGGAGTGCTGGTGTGTGTTATCGAAGGATGAGGTGTGGGAGTTTCAGAGCGACTGCGGTTAATCGGGGGGTTGGCTTTGGTCTACGGTAGTAAATTATGAAGAGAGACGGTATCATATAAGAAAGAGCTAATGAACAAACAAACAACCGGGCTCAATGTTTCGTGGCCTTGATCACCTTCTCCACCTCCTTATCAAACCTTTTAAACACTCCAAACCCTTCAAGAGAGGACGACACCATCCACAGCCACCAAACCTTGGAGAAAGTTTCAACTTGGTGCTTACGCAGTCGGGTCCTTTGTAAATGCACACACTCGGCTAAGTGAAGCACGATAATGCTGAAAAAGCCAAACAGATGCGTCTTCATCAGGAAATCCGCCAAAGGATGGTAATTGTGCAAAAGATTGCTATAGAAATTAGCCAAATCCACAACCATTCACTCCCTTAGAAGTAAAGTGGAGAATGACAAACATGCGAACGAACGACCCCTCCGCCAAATTCCTTTCCGCCGAAAATGTCCATAAACCCATCAACACGCCCACCACCACTGCGATGCCAAAGGCTCCGGGCGGGGTGTAAGTTTTGACCACATACGGACTCATTCCCAGTCCGGTTAGGCATTCGTTCGCCATATAGACCAACCGCTCCCTCGATTCCGACATGTTCTGCATGGCCGAGGGGCGGATGGGGAGGTACGTTGTCGTCTCAGTCCCCGTAGGCGAGGAGCGGGTGGTGAGGGTGATGCGCGAGAGCGAGACGTCGACAAGCTGGGCCGTGTCTGCGATTGCTGGTGGGAGTTTTGAGTAGTGTTGGAGGTAGTGGCTTAGGGATTTCTTGTGGTCTTTGTTCATGTGTGTTATTAAGCGGACTTTGAGAGCTGTATTGTCGGTGGGGTTTTCGGCCATGGTTGTGGGTGTTGTTGTATTGATTGATTGAGATGGGGATTGTGGGGGTGGAGGTAAAGGTGGAAAAGGAGGCGGGGGGAGGACGGAGGAAGAAGTTGCCTGTTCCAACAAGTCTTCAACGTGGGCGAGACAAAAACGGGAGATATTTTCTGTGTTACCCCACTTTGACGAATTCGTTTTTTTAACCCGACAAATACATTCATCATCCGGTGGTTTTTATCGTGCCCCGTTGCAAATTGATTCAGAAGGGTGAATTCTGGGGTACAGGTAACCGTAATTGGATAAGACACTACTTGTCACAGGCAATAAGTACCCGAACATGCTCCGTGACCGTTACAACAACAGCATTTGATTTTATTACTTGTCCTCCAAGCTGTGATACGGGCTACTGACTAATTAGATTCTGATCCTTACATTTCTTTATTGCATCATTGCTCACTGTACAATGGATTTCTACTTAAAGGCCGACTGTGACGTGATGTCTCACAAGGAGTTGTTTGGAGCAGGGGAGCATCTCTGGAGGGATATTAAGTAGCTGGAAGAGTATGTGGCATTGTTGGAGGGGAAATTAAGGAGGAGTAAGGAGGAGAGGGTAGTTGAGAAGACTCATTTGAGTCTAAGGTCGCCATAACCAGATGAAGAGGGTGCCCCACTGGGGGCCTTACTACCATGTAAATGGGGTTTTGCCTAGGCTGTTGAGGAAAAGAGGAGGAAGGTGGAGGGTGATAGTCCAGAGCCTGAGAAAGTGAGAGGCATTGTCACAAATCAGATTGTGATAAGGCAGATTGGAGTGAAGGAATAAGGTTTTCACATGACTTGTACTTGCGAGTCATAGATGTTTATTGTTATATGATGACTCACAGTTGTAAGTTAAATGATGTTATGACTTTTTCATGTGACTCATAAGTATAGGTTATAAGTTTCATGCATGTGATATACAGTCCCTCGTCAGAAGTGTTTGTGAAATGCTTACTAAGCAACCTCACTGAAAAATGTGAACCTAAAAAATTTGTTGCAATAACCAGTCACCACTACTGTAACTATATAAGTAATTAGACTGTAAATTTATGCTATATCATTAGACTTTCCTTTTATATTGTCTAGTATTTTTATAATTTTTTTCTGCTTCTTTTCCAATTTCCAGTAGTCACACTTCATGTTTCATATAAACTTCAACAAACCTGAAATTTCTTCCTCCTAGAATATGACATATTGTTCTAAATTCCTTGCTGTGCCAGAGTGATTCTACAGATTTTGGCTGCCTAGAATGGTGAGGTACAATTTTATATGAATTAAAATGTTTTATCCAATATATACTTTTTATATAAAAAATATTCATCTTCATTATTATCTTTTACAGCATATTCTTTTATGAGTTAGCTAGAATTTCAGAGTAGACCAATATTCTAAATAATAATATGATAAACTAAATATTATACTAGAAGTTGTGAAAGTATTACCTTATCATTGGTATTACAATGTATTTTTTTTAATATCAGGCATTGAATACAAGGATTGAGACCACTTTGACAATAACTAATACAACCATAAATATTTTCTAATAATACAACTTTGACACATTGTATTTCAACTTATAGCAGGTTAACTATATGGAATATTTGGGAAATGTTTATGTAAGAATGTTAATTTTTCACTATATTTGATATAAAACTAGATATCAGACAAAATGTTTGATCAACTACTGTAAAATTTTAACAAAAACAGAAAAAAATTAAAAAATACTAGACCTTACAGAGGAAAGTCTAATAATGTATTCTTCTATCCTCTCCTGCCTCTGCCCCACTGGTCTCTTATTTGCCTGATGGAGAAGTTATCTGAGCTCACCTAGTAGTCCTGTCTTGCTTATAGGGGCTCACATAGCTTTAGCATAGTTGGCCTTCTCTCTTTGTTTCTGGTAAGTATTAGAAGTGGTGGATGTCTTTCTTTCTACTTGCACAATCCTCATTGGGGAACATCCTGGCTAGTAACCTCTGGGTCTGCCATCTTGTGAGTTTTGACCATATTCTCCTAGTTGCTCAGTTCAAGTTGTAGTAGCCCTTATCCCGTCACCCTTCTACCTCCCTACTACCGGTTAGATCCCCTCCACTAAGTGATGCTATCTTTCAGAGAACAATTGACTATGGAAGAGATACGGTATAATATGGCAATGGTTCGGTAATGGTTGCCTTTACGCTAAGGCCTTGGCTGTTTCTTCCTTTTTCTCTTCGGTTATGTCGGCTGGTACTCTACCACTGTTGGCTGGTATCCTACTACTATACTCTATTTTGCTATCTTGGGTAGCCTTATCGGCCCTCCCTGAGAGACGGCATGGGGCTCTCATTTCACTAATACATCCTGCTTATAGCAGGTACTATTTTCTTACTATTCCTCCTCCTCATGATTGAGGGCTATATATTTGAGATATATGTTTATATCACATATTTGATTTGCCTATTCCTTATTTCGGCTTCATGGTCATGGTTGGTCTAATGGTCATACCAGGAATCTGGCTGTCTTAGGCATTGGATTCGCTATGGCCTTTAGTTTGGCGTTTCCTTGGTTTAGAGTTATCTTTCATTTGGTGGGAGCTGTGCTGCCAGGATAGGAGATTTCCTTACTTTGAAGAATGAGATTCTAGGTATTTTGTCTCTATGGCTTGTAAATAGTTGTATGGGAGACTGGTGGGAGAGCTTTTTACATTGAGAGCTGGTTGGGTATTGGTGGCTCTAGGCAAGACCTCTCCACATTTGAGTCATGGGCTCTGAGGATCGAGCACCTGACTGCTGGTCTTTGCCTTTCTAGTTTCACAGTTTTTCTTCTGACTACTGGAAAACAAGGCGGGCTGGAAGCAAGAGTCTCTAAGGTAGGAACTAGCTGGATACTAGGTGCTTACTCTATGTAGAACTAGAGAAATAAACAGATAAAAGTAAAAAAAAGTGAAACAAAAAGTATCTCTAGTATGCCATTCTCTGTGCTTTCTATTTTCTCCCCCATACATTTTACTTCTGTCCTCAACTCCATTAGCTTTTGGTGAAAAACGCCTCCTATATTATGCTCCTCCTCTCCTATGTCATAAGAACCACAACCTCTTGTCCCGTGTACAGATCCCACGACAATCTCCCATTCTGGAACCTTGGCCTTGTATCAGGGTGCCTCCTCCCACTATCCCTCACATCCATCTTTGACTGCTCCAATTCCCCTGTTTTATGAACATCTGGCAAGTCTTATCCCCATAATGAGAAAGTTGCTAGAATGCCTCCAAGATCAACTTTCCACTCTTAGGTGGCAAGACTTGTTGGACCTCTCAATGGAAGAGTGCTACCTACCACTGCTCATCTCCATACTAGTTCAATGTATCATCGCTCTCTCCTACACTGTTACCAAGCTCAATATAAGAGTTCATGACCTCTCCTCTGAGATAGCCAATACTATCCCTTTCCAAAGTGGCCGAATTGATGCCAATAGAGTTCCGGCAAGTGCTGTAGCCTCTCTCCAAGCAGCCATCATGGATATAACTATTCAATTTTATAGCGGTATGATCTTAATAACTTTGTACGGGAATAGCACATAGTATGAAGTTTATACTATGAGCACACTAAGTGAGGAGAAGGTAGATATGCGAAGGCAGATTGGTAGTAGTTCTTCTCCTTAATTCTCCTATGCGAGGTAGGCAGTAACCCACTATATATACAGGTGCGCATAACCCTGTATAACTAAAAGAAAAATAGAGAAAACATGGGAAGAACATAAGTGTGACCGTGTTTGACCCTGAAAAACTTGCCAAAGAAATCTATTTAAACATATGTGAATACGTAATGGTGTGAAAGATATGCAGAAACATTATGAATCTGATGACCAAGAAGAGTGCATAAAATATGCATAAGTAACTGAAATAATCTGAACACCCAAAAGAAAACATATGCATAATCCTGGATTGCTATCATGAAAAATTAATGAAATATACGCGATAAATGTCCTAGCTGTAGTAATGTCCGCAGTGTATAGGTTTAACCAGAATATATACCAAGTATGAGAATAAATGTTATTATCAAGTAAAATATACATATGAAACGAATCAAAAATTTCAACAGTCTGTTGCTTAAGTAAATCACTGTCATGGCTGCTTCACCCCAGAATTCCTTGGGTGCACTCACGGCATGGAGAAGGGCCCGCATAGTACTGATGATCGTCCTGTTTGCGCGTTCACTCATGCTGTTTAACTGAGGTGTGTATGGAGTTGTTAGGATTGAGCCTCTATCCCTTCTTGTATTAGGAGATGGCAAAATGTGTTGGAGGTGTACTCCCCCCTTCCATCCATATGCAATTTCCTGATAGTTTTTCCATCTTGTTTTTCCGTACAAGCCTTGTAGCCCTGAAAGCATGCCAATGCCTGTGACTTCTGCTTGATCAGGTATCCTCCTTTGAACCGTGTGTAGTCGTCGGTAAACATCAAAAGGTAGACTGCTCCCTCCAACGATACTGGTGTAACCGATCTCGTAATGTCAGTGTGAACCAGCTCCAATGGTTGGGACACTCTCGAGGTTGAGGGCACAGATGGGAAAGGCTTTCAGACCATCTTGCCATACACGCAACCTATACAGACACATCATGGAACAACAGGTATCTGTGGGATCCCATTTTCCTCCAGTGACAGTCTTCTTAATGCATTATTTCCTAGATGTGCCAGCTGGAAATACCAGGGTGCTACCTGCTTGTCTACCAGCATTGCCCCTTCATTCGACTCTATTTCTATCACCAGAGCTTTTCCACAAGCTCCAACAGTCTCTGTGCATAGGATGTAGAGCCCGTTGACTTCTTTCAAGTCAACTTCCTGTCTGTCATCACGCTCCAGGGAGGCCCCCTCCTCCTTGTTAAAGTCAATGTAGAAGTCAGACTTCCGGAGCTGCGATACTGACAACAAGCTATTCTTTCTGCACTCTGGTATATGGAGTACTCCTTTGATGGACAAACGCTGCTGTTTCTTGTGTTTTCTGTCCCACACCGAGAGCAAGATGTCGCCCTCCCCCAAACTATCAATCTCAGTATTCTTGGCTACCCGA